GCTGATTAGAGGGGGCTTATTAGAGGGGGCTTATTAAAGATGGGCTTATTAGAGGGGAGTGGCTTAATAGAGGGGGGCTTATTAGAGGGGAGTGGCTTATTAGAAGGGGCTTATTAGAGGGGAGTGGCTTATTAGAGGGGGGCTTATTAGAGGGGAGTGGCTTAATAGAGGATTTACAGTAATTTACAAGGAAATGCATTTCAGCTAGAGGGGAGAATTTACAATCAGATCTTGGGAGTGAAAAGTTTAAAACTGTTACTTACTTGGGCATCCTTGAGAGCTTTTTCTTTTTCATTTCTGGTGGATTTCTTTCCAACCCATACATAGACACCTTGACCAGTTTCCAAGATGAAGCAATCCTGAAAAACCACAATAAAAAAAGGTTTCAGTTGACTACAGTCTAAAGAAAAACATAAAAAGACATAAAGAAGCACCAGACTCTGTTGACTTTGACTCCTCAGGGGGGTGGTAAGATAATCTGGATTGAGGTCACTATCTAAGCAACTGTGCACCGGCACCCCTCCCCTAACCCAACAATGGTCAACTGATAACAAGTTAGGGTTAACCTTCAGTTAGGGGAGGGTTTAGTAATCCTCACTGAATCAATTTGTACATCATGCACTGATAAAGAAAGGCAAGGTGTTCATTGGGAAAGAGAGATCACAGTATTCTTTGACTTCTTCATGCAATTCTATGGCTGAATTACAATGCCCCAGTAGCCATTCTTCATTGAGACATGAGCAGATTTTAAGCATATTCAACTGTTATCTTACAGTATCCTCCTACTTTACCATCACATATAACTTATGAAAACCCTCATAAGAATTAAACCATGCAGTTACACAGTGGAGACTTACATCAGAGTCAAGATCTTCACGCTTTAAGGGTTTGCTGCCAGTCTCTTTCATTGTGATATTGCCAGTTTCATCCTCATTGACCCTGAAATTTAATATACATGAACAAACATGTATCCTTCAATTTTGTGTAACCTTGCCACTCATTACACCTTTCAAAAAAACTAGCTGCTTATTTGAATACTTTACCTGTACAAATTGAGTGAGAGAGATGCATCATGGGCCTCATCACTTTCAGCTTCTCTAGTGATAGGAACAATGCGCTTTTTTCCAGTCAATTCGTAGAAGAACTCTTCTTCCTCCTCTGGTGTGTCTGTGAGAAATGCAAACATCGACACTCAGAAGTTATTGGCACTTAACTGGTGTGCCTGTGTCATGACACATGACTCCACGAAGTTATTGGGGTCAGCAAAATAAATAATGATAAATTATACCAATTTATATGGCATTAATCAGCTAATCTTCAATAGCTCTTTACAGCCATTGTATGCTGAGGTAAAAACTAGCATCTTAAAATACCAAGACTAATCTACAAATCTCACACAAAATTAAATGCATATATCAAAAACAAAAGTGAAAAGCAACAAGCTTCTTTAAAAAGATATTAAGTCTTAAAAATCTTCTTAAAAACAGCTATTGAGAATCTTGAATGCCGAGAGGTAATTCATTAGACTGTAGTCTTGGCACTGCAGTACTGAACGCCCACCCTCCATAAGACTTAAATATTAGTAACATTTAAAATAAAATCGTCATCATGACCACCTTTTACTCAGATAATAATTTCAGAGGCACTCACCAACGGTAATAACTGCAGCAAGACCAGCGCGCTCTTCATCCCGTAGTTCACGTGCAAAATTTATAGCCTGTCATAAAAACAGACATACTTGTCAGAAATTCAATTTCTCCACCAATTAACAGAAACTCAACAACAAACTTACATTAAACCTCTCTTTTTTGTTGCTTTCTTTTCCACACCACACAAAAATTTTTCTTCCACAGTCAAAAACAAAGCAATCCCCAATGTTCAGTGAATCAATGGTGTGTGGTACCTGACCAATGAAACAATATCAAATAATTAATTTACAAGAATAGGTGAAGCAGCTAGAGGGGAGAATTATTAATCAGATCTCATCAGTTGAGGGTTAAATCTACACACTCAAAAGGCCACTCACCTGAGAGGCATAAATTTTACGTTTCCCTTTAACTCGCATTAACGCCTTTTCAAACTTTTTTTTGCCTTCTTTGAACCCAGAAGCATGCCCTCCATTAACCACCCTGTAGAGAGAAAGAAGCAGAGGATCGGAATGAAGCTTTTCAATAAACTTAACCCCCAACAGTGATTAGCATCTAATTTCTCCATACAATATCACCCCCTGAAACACACGATTAGGTCACGAGAATACAAGAAATGATCACTATCTAGTGTTCTTAATTGTTTCAACAACTTCTCCTTGTCAGCACCTTAAGAAATGTGTAGAGAACAGTATGAAGAATATGCATACTTTTGGCTGCGTGAAAAGGTTTTAAAAAACTAACCAAAAGACAGCTTACCTCATCCCATTACTAAAAAGACTTTTGAACTTTTGATCTTCATGGCCTCCAACCTTAAGAAAAGAGAAAAGCAGATTATTAACATTTCAGTCCTTAAAAAAAAAAAAAAAAAATTAAATGAAAAACAGACATATCAAATGCTAACCACTCGATGCTGCACAGGGAAATCACCCAATTCTGTGTCAAGTGTCACAGACAGGCTGGCAGCAGCTCCTTGCTCATCCTTAAGAGAGAAACATTTGGTCACATTAATATATAAATAACTAAGTAATGATGTGGCAAAAGCAGATGACCTTTTGCCAAAAGGATATTATGTGTAACCCAATAGTCTTTGTAACAGAAAACAAAAATGACACATATAATTAAAGGCATCACTTTGGAAAAATTTTAAAGAGGCAGGAAGCTGAATTCAAAGATTGAACCATCTACAGAAGAACATGCCAAGTTGGCCAACTAAAGAACGAGTAGGTAGTAAAATGGAAAAAAATTTCATTCCAAAAGAAATGTTATAATCCTTTGACAATTGTGATCATTTTATTTTCTGGTCACCACTTTGGTGAACTTTAGCAACCATGCTGCTTTTTATCAATACTATCTAGAAATCTCTGAAGGTCTACAAATTTTTAATCTTTTTTAAAATATTTCTGTCAGAGGAAATGAGTGATACATAAACTATTAAATCACAAGAATTAGCTTCAAACAACAGCGCCGCCATTTTTCAATCAGAATGTGTAATCCCTACAAAATGAAAAGCTAGGTGATCGATTTATTCATTCTTAGCTTATCAGCACATTTTTTCAAGTTCAAAAGCAATCCTATCATCACGGATGAAGAAATTTTAGATCTCACCTGAGTTGTCTCTGGTCCTAACCAAAAGTAAATATTGGCAGTCTTACCAACACTTATTGTCTAAAATATGAATTTTAATAACAATCAGTATACAACAATAATTGATCACAACACCACCAATAAATGCATTTTTTAATATATTCCAATTAGTCTACATGACTAATTAGTCTACATGACTAATTAACCCTCCATGAGAGCAGTATCATAATGCATCAGACAGACAGACAGACAGACAGAGACAGACAGACAGAGACAGACAGACAGACAGAGACAGACAGACAGACAGAGATGGACAGACAGAGACAGACAGACAGAGATGGACAGACAGAGACAGACAGACAGAGAGACAGACAGACAGACAGAGAGACAGACAGAGAGACAGACAGACAGACAGACAGAGAGACAGACAGACACACAGACAAACAGACAGACTCCTTTATCTAAGTTTTATCCCCAAGGTGGTTGCTTGAAAGCAACCTGCAAGGAAGAGGAGCCTGCTCTGAACCCTTAATCAGAAAAAAAAATTGATTTATGTCGAGATACCTCTAGTATGATGTACGAGTCACCCTTGTAAAATTTTCCATAGTCCTTTGGAGAAACTTTAACAGGCTTGAAAAACTGCAAGGTGAACATTTTAAAAAATGCGGAGATTAAACTGAGAAGAAGTAAAGTAAAGAAGTGTTGAGGGAAAGGCATGGTGTCATATTCCTAGATGTTTGCAGGCAAGAAATAATTTATGCCATTCTCGTCTTCATTGTCAAATTATGTCATTGTCAGGGCCTGACACAAACAGACTAGTAGAGATTCAGTTTTGGCTAGTGGTTTTTAATTTCCACTAGCCAGTTTGTCTAGTAAACAAACTGAAATTGTTGTAACATCTAAGTTGTCACTAGCCACTGGGCTAGTAAGTTGAAAAGTTAGTGCTGAGCCCTGATTGGGGTAATTGTCTTTCTCACTGTTATGATCATCATTGACATGTCAACATTGTCATTGTTATTAGAAAACTAATCACCATGATTATGATCTTGATCCTACTGCTTATAAGTCATCCTATTATAAAAAATTACATATTTCTAACCAGCCTAATAGGCACTACTGTTTAACCCTCAAAACCCAAAGGATCTGACCAATGAATAATTTCTTCATACACTTTCATTACTAAATCAAACATAACCATCATGAGAAAAGAGGAACTGATCTCTGGCTAAAGAAGCCGTTGATTGTTACAAAAATTCTCCTTGCCAATACTCTTAGAAATGTATAGAGAACATTATGGAGAATACACATGCTGACATTAGTGTTTGAAGAGTGAACCAACCTCAATTCTCCATATTTCCAATCCTGGTTTAGATCCTGCTGCAGGAAAGGCCCTTTGTCCATTTTCTGCGACTGGCATTTTACAGTTTTATTTGACGTTCCTTAGTACATCAAAAATAAAACAAATTGCAAAAAATTTAATACAATATGGTGCACGATCTCAAATAAAATTCCACAAAACTTTTTTTTATTTCTTCTCTAAACACAATTCATTGGATTTTACAAATTTCTTCCCCTGTAGAGATTGCAAGTTCTGTCTGTATAAAAAACACAAAAGAAAACACTCACAGAGAGACACTTGCACACAGCTTTTCTATACATTTTTAGAATTTCCTGTGCAAATAATTAATGAGAACTTTTTCAGAATCACAATAGATGAATCACAAAATTTCAGAACCTGTATATAAATAGAATTTATCAAAAAACTTGGGAACACAGGAGAATGAGAAATATGCTAACCCTTCTTCAAGAGCACTTTCTTCAGTACTTAACTCGTTTCTAGTTGCTACTAGTTTCACAGGCTATTAAATATGACATTGCCCGCAGAGAAGAAAACTCTGCAATTTTCTTGATGACTGATACAAATATGTAAAATAAAAGTGTGTAAAATAAAAGCGGTGATCAAATGTCCCAAGAATGCTGAAGAACTGTTCTCGCCAGTTCTGTTAATTCTCTAAACTGATTAACAAAAACTTGCAAAGGTGAACTGTGGAGTGCATTAACATGAATTTTAATTAGAATAATAATTAACTTTTTAATTCCCTGCTGGCGTTAAAACATAATCCTCGTTTTCAACAAGCTTGTTTTTATAAAATATGAATTTACACCTTTCAGTGATTACAAAATTTAACCATTGGTACGGAGGCAACGCCGTATAAAAACGCTACAGGAAGTACGAATTCGGCAAAAATTTCGCACCATTCCGCACTCAAAATGCGGAAAAAGGTAGCATATTTAGACATCGACCTTAACTTTAAAAATCCAAGAATTAATCATGATTTTGAAAAGTTATGCTCTGAAATATTCGAATGCATCACTTTAGGTGTTGTTAAAAGATCAACGAAACCAATTCAAGGTTCACTGCAATTCGACAAAGAGGTAAATTCGAGAAATTTGAAGTCACCAACGACGAACAAGAAAGCGAAATCGACACTATGGCAACCGAGGCTTTAATAATTATCGCTTTGCACAACTTTGTATGAACTTAGACGCCAGTAGACAAAACGAACGCAACTGCAACTCTAAACCATGAATTTGCGAATTAAGAATTCATATAGGAAATTTTGTATACTATAAAAACATCAATACTCGCTACAAATGTGTTTTTACAAATGTAAACGTTTCTGCGATTTGCATATAAAGGCTAAAGTTCTGTTTTTCAACGATTAAAAATTCAATAGAATGGCCGCGACTTGAAATCAGCCAACTCAGGTCATTCCCACAAATAAAAGCTGCGTAACTATCGCACTATTCGACGACAATGGCTTGTTCAGAAGTGTACAAACTTGTAAAACAAATAAATTGAAAACTATAGCAAACATATCATAGTGTGCGGGCACAGGAATCGAGGGTGTCAACTGTCGTTGTTGACAAAACTCTACGGAGCAATTCGCTCAAAATCCCCGAGGAAAACTCCGCAAGGACATTGCAACAAAACAACGTTGCGAAACAGCGATCTACAAATGACACGCATGCCAGAGACCTCACCTTTTAGTTAAGCTTACCACAGAGGTAACTTCCAAGTCCGAACTTGAGAAGAGCGAAATAGGATATTACCTGCAGCTGTAAATTTCCGACTGAATCTCATATCCGGGACATCGACCCCTTACGTGGGCGTGAGAAAAATACACGGCGTGTACTTAATATATATTCGCCCCCCCACCCACCAACCTATCTAAAATGAAAATAGATAAGAATTGGTGACCTTCAAAACAAATGTAAGATAAAACCGCGCGAGAGTTAGGTTTACAAATGCAATATTACTCTGTCTAAATTCTCGACAGTTTAATTACCTAAATTGCACCGTATTCAGACGCCTAATTCTCTTAACTAATTGCATTTAATGTTTTCGATATTGGTGACAAAACCAAGAAAATTTTGATGAGCTGACAACATCATCGGTAAGGGCTAACTAAGCACCCTATGAAGTCTGCAAGTCCGTGACGGGATATTTATAAAAGTCATTACTTTCTTTTGTGTAGCAATAACCTTAAAATGACGTAAGGACAAGAAAAAGCATTCAATATTCCTTCGTCTGAGCGCAAGAATGTTCTACACAGTGGACGAGCGGAAATATGTTGTGAACTTTTCATATGAAGTGGAAAAAAAAAATACGTGAATAGAGATTTCGAGAATTCACTATTTCATTTTTTTTTAATAAATATTTAATAGTCTGAAAAAGAGTGAAATTTTCCAATCTGATTGGCTGGGCTTAGCATACTTTATTACTCTGATCTGACACAGGGCTGTAGCCCGATTTTAGGACAAGACGAGGCAAGTTTCGAGCGCCGAAGGCGCGAGCCGCTAGAGGGGTCTGGGGGCATGCCCCCCAGAAAACTTTGAAATCTCGAGGTTTAGAAATGCTCTTTCAAGGATTTTCCGTGGCATTTTTCTTCAGTAAAGTCAACTTTTAAGAAGAAAATTAAAAAAAGGCCAAAATTAAGACGATGCAATTGCCTCGTCTTGCCTCATGCTAGCCACGGTCCTGTAACATAGAACGGTCTATAGATAGGTATACTGTAAACTTATTTCATTGCTTCCATATCTACAAAGTTCACAAATTGTAATAGCAACTTCACAGACTTTATACACTATTCTCGAGCTAAACAATTCGTCTATATTCCAAGTTCTTGATTAGCATGGGGCAAGAGAATGGGACCAATAAGCTGGGATTGAGTCGCGCCAACGAAGGCTCTGAAGCATTTTAATTTCCATCGCCACGTTCCTCCTCAATCCAATCGTCGTTAATTGACAGTTACCGTCGTTGTCACTATCGTACGAGAGTGAGACTAAAAGAATGTTGCTATTATTCATAATTCCAATGTCATTGCTGCGGGGAGGCGAAACAGAGCGCTCCGATTTAACAATCATCCCCTACACATTATTTCATTATTCCTTTTCAACCCATGTATCGTTTGGGAATCTATAGCGCCTACCACACAGGTGGATTTAAAATATTTAAATGAAATTATGGTCACCAGTCTGCGGGCAGGTCCTCCTTACACGGGGCTCGGTTCGGCCTTGAGCAATGCGAGCTAGTGAGAAGTCTGCTAAGGGACCAGCACTGAAAATAGGGAGTTTGAGAAATGACGACGGCAACACCGTGGACAACACCGGCTAAAAAATGAACTCATGTTTTGCCTTAAAATCTAATTCTGCTTATTAAAGTTTTGTTATGTGACGTTCTGTTGCCTTTGCCGTCGCGTGGTTTTCTTAAACTCCCTTATGTCTCAATTTTTAGTGCCAGTAACTCCTGACAAATGAGAACAAAATCACTTCGATGAAAGATGAAAAAAAAAACAAAAAAAAAACAACAACTAAGAAATATTTATAAAAACATAGCCTACGGTACTACAGAGAAAATTTTGGTTCCTTAAATTGCTGGCAGACCTGCCAGTCTGAGTAAAAATCACTTAGACAAGGAAAGTGAAATGTTAAGCAAGCAACCGTGGTTGCTTGGTTATTACCGTGGGTAATCCCACTCTTGTACGTTGGATCAACAGTGATCTAATCGGCCCAAAATAACAAATATGGATATAAAGGCAAGACCGATACAACGTAGATAAGTTTTAAGACGGAGCACTATATTTCGGCTGGTCAAACCAGCCTTCTTCAGGTGTAGTGGGAATTGACATAGAATAAAATGGTACTTAGATAGCTGTATGATGTTATAGCGGAAAAACGTAAAACTAATTTGATTGACAATGAGATAACAATTAAAAATAGAAATAGTCATGATGAAAATAAAAGTAAAGTGGGGTAAATTGAATAAATTAAATAATACATTTCTTAACGCTCGCGAAGAAATGTATTAGTGTTTTTCCAGGCTACTATTTTTACTTCTAGTTATTTAATTTATTCAGTTTACCCTACTTTACTTCTCTTTTTATTTACTATCTCTATTTTTAATTGTTATCTCATTGTCAATCAAATTAGTTCTACGTATTTCCGCTATTACATCATACAGCTATCTAAGTACTACCATAGGGGGCCCAGACAAGCGACGAGTCTGGTTGTTTATTCGAAATATAAAGGAATGAATGGGAGAATATTAAAGAGTCTTATTATCGTAAACTTATATCATGAAATGTCTGAGTTAAAGCTCAAAATAAATGTAAACCTACCTCACTTGCTGTGTATTGTCGTTTCTGTGGCTCTAAATGGCGAATTTGAGCGATTTGGTGGGTTTTGAGTCGACTGTTACACTATACGTTTAGTGTAACAGTAAAATTCGCCATAATTTAGAGCCACAGAAACGACAATACACAGCAAGTGAGGTAGGTTTACATTTATTTTGAGCTTTAATTCAGACATTTCATGATATAAGTTTACGATAATAAGACTCTAATATTCTCCCATACATTCCTTTATATTTCGAATAAACAACCAGACTCGTCGCTTGTCTGGGTCCCCTGTGGTACTACCTTATTCTATGTCAATTCCCTCTGCACCTTAAGAAGGCTGGTTTGGCCAGCCGAAATATAGTGCTCCGTCTTAAAACTTATCTACGTTGTATCGGACTTATACAATAAATTCGTAATCACAGATAATGCCTTCTACCTATGAGTTGGCCGAAAGGACTTTGCTCTAACTTGGGGTGGAAGTCAGTCTTCAAACTTTCAGATCTGTTCAGATGTTCGTTGCAGTGCAATGATTGCTCAGAAGAACATCGTACTTTGAATCAATTAACATTTTGCTTGACTGATAGCCGTCTTTCGGAGAATTCACAGCGAGGAAGGAAGCGCTATAATTCGCATTTATGAAGGTGACCGCCTCTGAAAGAAAGACCATTAGAATACTTGTTTCCAGTTCCCTTGTGCGTCTCTCGGGTAGAGTAGTAGAGTAGAGTAGACATCTATATTTATACAGGATAGCCCCTTCAGTGTAGTAAACACTGGTGCGCTCTCATGTCATCAAATCAAACTATAACTTGGTAAGGACCGGTTATCGTTTATCTCCTAGGGTGGGGTGGGGGGCTAGAAAAAA